TGTACAATACACTGCACTGTATTGGTTATGACAACAACTCCACACCCAGTGGTTGCATTCAATTTATAATATGCAAATTTATTTACATGTACATATAATGTTCAATTAGATGATGATAAAATAAAATTATGATCAAAAACTTTTTATTTATTATGGAGGTGGTCAGTTGGGCTTTTTCGATTGTTGATTGATTGTGTGTTGTTTTACATCCCATTCAAGAATTTTTCACTTATGTAGAGATGTCATCATATATCTGTGAAGGGCTTCAAATTTTGACCTTTACTCGGCACTCAGGGCCATTGAGTGGTGAGGATTAATTCTTTATCATGCCAATGCCTGTCGTGACATGGGACCTCAGTTTTTAAGGTCTCTTTAAGAAGGACCCTTTTTTCCGTTTGATATTCATCCATTGTCTGGCATTCTGTCTCTGTCATCATTGGTAGCATTGTTTTCACTATAAACTACTTTTCATTTTCTTCCTCTGCCATAAACTGTAAGCCATTTTCAACCAAATCTGGTACTGAGAAGGGAGTCTAGATTAGTTCAGAAAAAGGGCCTCTGTCTCTTGACAGGAGAGACAATCAAAAGACAAAAATAGGTCAAGTTTCATTAAAAATCTCAAGAATAACTGGGCCAAAAAGATGACAATACCAGGTAGATTCAGAAGAAGAAAAGTAGGTCCAGGGTGACTCAGGTGAGCATTGTGGCACATGGGCCTCTTAAATGTAGATAATTAATGTCCTTTTTAAATGATTCATTTTATTTCAGTTTGATTATGATAGACTAAAATTTTTTTGTTTTGGCATATGAACCTAGGTTTATTTATCATTTCATTTTCATTTGTTTCATAATAATTTTTTTGACAATAATGCAGTCCTGGCAATTATGTTGGACCGACATTAAAGCAGGTGTTCTTTTCAAAGCATTGAACAAGCATGATTCTTCAGCCCTCAGTCAATAAGCTGATTATTTTGTTTTTAGACCTGCTTTGTTGTGAGCCTATTGAGTGTATATATGCCAGATGGATCATTTTTAACCATCACTGACAGCAGCAAAATTAGCAAACCTATAGTATAGCAGCATATATCATATCAAAGAAGTGTAAAGAAAAGTGAATATAAAAATTGATGAGCAACTAGGACAGCAATGGTCAGTGGGACCTTATGATGTGTATAAATTATGTCACAGGTTGTCCATTGTTTGTAAGTCTTTTGACATTTGATAAGGATCTTGAAGCAAGCTTTAGCAATTCAAAATATCATCTTATTTAAATTTATATTTTACTACTATAATATTTATGTATCCTGTATAGGCTATGAAGGTTTGAATTGATATTTCAAAATAATTTTATGTTCTTAACTTTTTTGTATTTACTTGATAAGTTACAGATCAAATTGCATTTTGTTCTGTTTCATTGGTTTTTGACAGAATAACATTTTTAAATTTTAACGGGAACCAGATTACAATTACTTGTAGGGGACTAGTGTTTCTAATGTAAAATACTCTCAGAATGCATGTTAGAAATAAATCTTTTGTACACTTTTTTTTGTGACTCCTCATTATGTAGGATAAGTGTTTTATTTTGCAAGCAACTGATAAGAATTCAATGCATCTTTATTCCGACACCTGACTTGAAATCCTCCGGAAAATGTATCTCGGGCTTTAGCTTAATTAATTTGAATTTCCCATACATAAAAAAGACAGCAATTGCAAGAAAACATTAAAGTTGCTAGTTAAATATTCTTTAAATGAGATAATTATACATTGTGTGACTGATTAAAAAACCCACATTTTTTCACAGGTAACTAATTTTACTTCATCTATATGCAAGCAGTTATTTAATGAGATAAACATACATATATCACATTCTTCAATTTAATTTTAGAATAGTGGTCTAGGAATGTAGGTTAATAATATGCTCGATTTTTTTTTGTACCAGTTTTCTGCTCAGTGAACATGACAAAGTCATATAAATACAACCAAGATAAATTAAGGTATATACATGTAACAGGTATATGTAAATCAGTTGTTTTTATCTAAGACAATAAACTCATTTTACTTTTAAGAAGATTTCAAACTAACGTTATATTTTATAGATATTTTTTAGAACTGTGCATAATATAACTAAAAATTCTACCGAGTCGGTCCTCTGATATTTGAAAAATATAAAAAATGTTCATGTGACTTTAAACATGTTGACATGGAAAAGGGGAACAAGCTGATAAAACTTTGGGTGATTAATACTCAGCTAATGCAGTTTGTTTCAAACTCTCCGTTTTTTATAATTTTTTGATCGGACTGCTTTGTAACTCTCTGTTTCCCAGGGTTCACTATTTCCCAGACATATGGCTAGACTGTGTCGTATGGAGCTATAGTGAGTCAGTTTGTGTAGAGCTTTGTAAGATCGCCTATTTTAAAATTTCTATACATTATGCATCACAATCACTTGGGCTCATTGGCTGTCCAAATTTAATCTGTAAACTTAATGTGTTGCTTAACATAAGTTTGGGTGTATCTTTGATGCATTGCTTAACATAAGTTTGGGTGTATCTTTGATGCATTCAATTTTGTCACATTAAATTTTGTATATTGAGTAGATATAACTCTTTACTGCAGCACAAGGAGATGTTAGCTGTGGTCATGGTGTTAGACTTCTACACGGAAGGATATGAACATGCATTATGTTCTCAAACTTACAATTGAATGTGGTGCATACTTAAAAGTATCTACAAGATTGACTTATTTTCCCAGGGTAGTAACAATGTTACTGTGTGATATGTCTAACAATTGAATGTGATGCATGCTTAGAAGTATCCACAAGAACTTCATGGGAAACTTTACATTTGTGATAATATCTAACTAATGTCTATGCTGTATATTTTTCAGATGTTAAAGATGAAGTAGGCGGTTTAATCCAGAGTCAACAATGGATGACAAAGTCCAGGATAAAGAGTAAATTCTCATGCAAAAAAAAACAGAATTGTAAGTTATATCTTGAAAATTACTGAACCATAGATTAATTTTTATGTTAAATGCCATGTAATCTGTAACTGGAGACCTTTATTTTAGAATAATGTAACTGATGTTTTGTAAAATATCCACTTACGTCTTTTTCACCAAGACAATAAATGTTTCACAGTGTGATGATTTTCATTATTTGATATGGCTATCAGTTGTGGATTTCTAGAGAAAAAAGTCTAACATTTCATAATTTGCAGCATGAACCCCATTTTAAGCAATACAATGAAATGAATTAGCGAAATGACAGCTTATTGTCTTTATGAGTCCCTGCATCTAGTCCACTGCTATGCAAGTCAGGAAATCAGTTTGTAAATTTTTTTCGATTTTGTTGCAAAAAATTGGCACGATCAATTGTGACATTAGTCAGTTCTTACTTACTAGACTGATTGCAGAAAATATTGACAAATTATTGATAATTTATTTTAAAGTTCATTCAGATATCTCTATGGTTACATTGTCATTGTATCTGTTAAAGATCACAGTATACATGTAATGTACACTGTATCGGGTAACAAATATTGGGTATGAAGGTGTAAGATGCACACAATCAAGCTATATAGGTCAGTATAACAGTTTTCTTGAGGTAAGCATATAAATAACCCTAGACTCTCTTCTCTCTTGTGTTAAACTGAATTTAATTAAAGTACCACTAAGCTTATCCATGAAGATAAGGCACAGGTCCATGTAAGATTATATGTTCACATTGACCATGTCTAGGATAGATCTTACTCTCTCCATCACAGAATTTCCTGATGACCGATACATGTATAATTAGTACACGACATCCTATAATAAGACAGGAAGCCCCTTGGAATGTTTAACTTTATGTAACAGTGTGAAATGAGGCAGATGTTTTGTATTTATTAATTCAAAGAGAAATTTCTGAAGCTGTCAGAGGTAAATTTCTGGGTCAGACAGGGTGTATGTACATGTGTCGTAGCATTTTGGCATTTTAGCATCAAATGGTCTGTTAAAGTATGGCAATATGAACTCTGTAATTATATGAAGAAAATGCTGCAACATAGCATGATATTCATTTTGAACTTTTATTAGAAGGAAAAAAGTGAAACATTCTTTTTTTGAAATGTATCAAATATTTTATGGTGTATACCAGTATGTGCACATTTTTTGAAAAATAAAATAGAACACATTTATAACTGCTGCATTATTTTCTTCTTAAGGTCGGTGATAAGAACAAGTAGATATATGAATTTTATCAGCAAACTACATGTATTATTAAACCATTAAATTAAACACCCCATAGTTCTTTTTGATGAAAATAACCCCATACAAGATATGTAGAGAGATTTTTTTTTTCTTATACTGCCACCTATATAATAATATAACATTTTGAAAGTGTAGATAATATCGTTAATTATTATAATACTATTAGGTCAAATTTTTACCTTAGTTTTATACTCTGACATTTTCATATAAACTGCTCATTTTCTAACTATAGTAGTTTGCAGTAAGTACCGGTATTAGTTCAGATGAATAAAGAGAACTATTGAAGTTACAGTTACTTAGACTTTGTTAGATGCCTTTATAACATGTATAAGTTATAAACATATATCACCAAAACCTCTGGATTAAGAAAAAAAAGATATATACAGATAAAGGTTATAGAGAAGTCAATGCTTTAAACTTTTTTATTGATATCTATAAAAACTACATTAAAAAAGAAGTTAAGTATAAAACCAGCATAAGTAACAACTTGTACTATAACATAAAATTGTTCTCATATGCTGTAAGTCAAGGTACTATAATCTCATCCTTAGCAAATGGACCAAATGCAGTTAACACTTACAAAGGAAAAAAAATATGCATGGAAAATGTCTATATATGACACTCAGGTGACTGACAGGGTCCATAGGCCTTTGTGTTTGTTTTGTGGTGTTCAGTAAAACAGAAGTTAGAGTTTTATTTCTGAAGGTAATATTAGCTGCATTTTTGATGATGATTTGTTATATTTGTTACAGATGTGATGGGTACTAATTGCCCTGGAGAGTATTGATGGAGAGCAGATCCAATCAGTAGTGTGTTGTCACCGGGACTGGGAGGCACACACACTCTGTTGACATGAGAGTACGGCCGTCTCGTTTGCTACGCAGCCTCTTTCTGGTAGTGCTATTTCTTTTCGTAATGCTCAACATGCATGTACTGTTGAATAGCAGCTCTCACCACTCGGAAATGGTGGACCATTCCCTCCTCTACAAACTCAGAAATCCAGACATTTATATCAACCCCCACGTGCAAGTCGGCCATGAAGTCACACCTCAAAGTAGCGAAGCCAAGCTGGAAGTCTTCATCCCACCCAATATGTATAATCAGACGTTCTCCAAAGGAGACATTCAGGAAAACAATCTAACACAAATTAAACAAGAAATAGATAGGATTAACCGAGAACAGTATATTCAAAATTTGCACAAGTTTGGATTGAAGTTACGGACAGACAGTGTTGTGATGGTAGTCCAAGTCCATGACCGTGCTCAATACCTGCAGATTCTTGTGGATTCTTTACGTAAAGTCAAAAAGATACAGGAAACGCTTGTGATATTTAGTCATGATGTGTATTCAGAGGCTCTCAATAAAATTGTGCAATCTATTGACTTTTGTCCGGTAAGTGTTCTTCTTGCTGATGTATCAAAATCAAATAGTATTTTTGTATCACTTAGTACTGTTCTTAGCTAACACTTACTTAGCAGTTTATTTTAATAAATTACTCAACATACTTACATTTTACATCAAATATTTTTTTATAAACATGGATGCATAAAGGGTATTCCCTGAAATATTTGAGATTATTTGTTGCAATTTAAGTTTTTTTTTTCCACATTTATATGTAATACAGGGAAAGATTATGCCTTTAACATGCATACATTTATAAACTGATGAAACCAGAGTGTCATAATCATGATAATCTTGACACATAATTTAGATACATTCAGATTCTGTTTATAAAGTTAGCCCTGGTAAAAGGCAAATATAAGTATAAACCGATACATTTTGCTGTATTATGTGCATATACATACTAGTATATTAAATATGTAATCTTCGTTATTCTTTAAATATGTTATTAACTTATAGTTACTAGCATGTATTGATGATAAGAAATTTAAAGTAAACATATGTAAGAAATATGTTTGATTTTGTAGACCATATTGCTTTTACTATCACACATATTTAGTGTATACATGTACATGATATAACAAAGATAACCTGATTGAAAAGTAAACTCATTTTTTCTAAAAAAAAAATTGCACTTTCTTGAAAACTAATGCAATCATGCCACACAAGCAGTTTTTGTTAAAGTATCAGTCTGAATTTATTATCAATCTTTATGTGAAATTCAATAACCAAGAGACATTTAAATTAATTTTTAATTAAGCATTATATAGACAGAAGTTAATCATTATAAATCGATACTCAAATGTGCGTATTTTTTATGTCATGAATAAATATAAAGTAAAAGTATAGAAAAGTGCTAGCAAAAATTGATATAGCTATGGGATTAAAGTGATACTTATAATAACAGAAAGATGAAATGAGAAAGAATAAAAGCTAAGCCATCTTATGTGTATAAATACAAATAAGCAGTGTTAAAACATATTAGTATTGCACATAACATCTGCTTTATATCTCAATCTGATTACAAAGCCTGTAGCAGGTGCCCTCTATTTTGTGTCTGGTGCACTAAGAGTTGCATGCTGATTTGAATTTTTGTTTAGTTGATAAATTCTCAATATGTACCAAGAAAACATGTGCTGCTTTGACAAACTAACATGCGTATTCTGTTTTCTTCAGGTGATGCAGATATTTATGCCTGTGACTGCTCAACTTCACCCACAAGAATTCCCCGGCGAACACCCTAATGATTGTCCCCGCAATATGAAAAAAGAGGAGTAAGTGTGAATATCATCACTAAGTCTCTAAATCCTCTGTCCCTATGGTCAGACTTTGATGTCTTTGCTGTTTCCTTTATCAGAATAGAGAGAGCCCTTTGGCACACTTCATTGTAATAGAGTTTTACTGTCTTTTTACTCCATGTGTTAATCTTACCAGTTACTTGAATAAAACCCTGTTTAGGCTCCTTTGACTGTTCAAAAAGAAAATAATAACATCAAAACTTGTTCACAAGAAGAAAAAAAAAAGAAGTGGACTTGAAGAATAATTTTTTGGATGACTTTTCAGGGCAGCATCAAAAAAATGTAATAACTGGCAACATCCAGACAAGTATGGGCATTACAGAGAGGCCAAATACTGCCAGACAAAACATCACTGGTTATGGAAGGTAAGCTTATCAAGTATGGGCAGTCTAACTCTCAAGTGTGGGCAAAAAGTAAGGGTAGCCTACCTGTTAAGTGTGGGCAGTCTAACTCTCAAGTATGGGCAAAAAGTAAGAGTAGCCTACCTGTCAAGTATGGGCAGTCTAAAGACAAATAGGGGTAGTCTAACTGACAAGCATGGGTAGTCTAATGGAAGAGCATGGGCAGTCTGTATGGGCAGTCTTACCGACAAGCATAAGCAGTCTAACTCTCAAGTATTGATAGTCTAACTGACAAGTATGGGCAGTCTAAGTGGCAAGCATAGGCAGTCTAACTGACATTGACAAGCATGGGAAGCTTAATAGACAAGTATGGGCAGTCTTACTGACAAATATAAGCAGTTTAATAGACAAGCATAGGCAGTCTATCTGACAAGCATGGGCAGTCCTACTGACAAGTATATGGGGTTCTAACTGACATGTATGGGCATTTTGACCAACACGTAGGAGCAGTCTAACAGACAAGTATAGGCTGTTAGCCTGTCAAGCTGACAAATATGTTTTGTCTATCTGACAGGTATGGGCAGTCTAACTGACAAAATGGGCTATCTGACAAGTATTGACAGTCACTTACAAGTATGGGCTGTTTTACTGATAAATATGGGCTGCCTACCTGACATGTATAAGCTTTCAAACTGACAAGTAAAGAGGTCTGAAAAGTTTAGACGGTTTGACAAATATGGACAGTCTGACTGACGATCATATGCAGTCTTACAGACAAATATGAGCATTTCAATTGATAAATAAGTACAGGTTATACTGGCAATATACTGTAAATGTAAAATACAAAATTTAAGCTCTATAATGATTGCTCAGAATTATTTTTCTTAAGTTTATGACAACCACAATACACTGTTTTTAAAACATATAAAATAATGAATTAGTCTAAAGTTTCTCTGAGTGATTGTAATGTGATAATGCACCAATCATTGAAACCTTCAGGGTATATTGTTATATCGGGAACACTGTTTTGGATAAAACAAATGTGTATTGAACAATGTCATCTACCCTTTAGTTTCATAATCTATATCAAGCAGGATCTATTGTTTTGAGTGCACAGTACTTCTTCTGGGGAAATGTTTTATACATGAAGAACTGTTTTTCTGCCAGTGAGACTGGCACAATAATGCTTATAATAAGCTTAATTTATCCCCAGACATCTGCTACTTAGTAGATGACTATTTGACACAAGAAAAGAGGCTGATGTTTCATAGTGTCCTTGTAGGATAAATTACTTATTCCTACCTCAGTGGGGGCAAGTACCAGAATATTAGATCCTGGCTTCAGATAACTGGAGTTCAGTAAAAATCCATTGCCGTTAAATTTAACGAATAAGGCAGATTAAAAAAGTTGTGTAAACATTAGAATAGGGTTACATTAATTATATAACAGGTGTTTTATGGTACCTCGGGGCTAGGTATCATATTGTTTGATGGATTGTGAATCTCAACAAAAACTAAAAATCCATTTTCAGCCTACTGTTAATGTGGTGACTATTGTCTTTCTAGCTGTCATTTGAGCTATTTTTAGCTATTTTTAAATTCTTTTTCGGCAATCAAGTGATAGGACAGGTAGACAAGTGAAGAAGTTAACTTTTTTTAGAATGAGACATAATATATGTCAACCCTATATCATTTTAGAGTTAAATATAGAAATGTACATACATCTCCAGCTCTCAGAAATGCATACATCACACAGATAATATTTTTTCATAAGTTTTCAAAGCATATATTTGTGTAGACTTTTGAGGCAGCTTTTAAGGCCTTTTTACTTTATCTGCTTAAACAAATAACCCCCTATTTGGAATAAATAGATAAAGTATATATTTTGCTGGTGCTGAGGTGTGGGGAGAGGAGATAATGGTAGAATGGTAACTAGGAGGGTTTGGTAACTTTTATCCCAGCTGCATGTAAAATGATGGATTAGGCTGTGTAGGTCGTTAGAAATATAGATACTGGAGTATGTTTTTCCTAAAATACACATACATTTTGTTTAACAAATAACATTGTCTGTGTTTGAAAATATCAGTCAGTATGAGTGACAGCAGGGTTGAAGCAACAGATACAGAGAGATTGCCTCTTAAGAAGAAGATTTTACTTTTAATAAACATTCATGATAAAACAGAGTACACTGTACATGATGGATAACTTTTATTAATGTTTTCTTGATTTAGAAAAGCTCATAAAATTTGACATCTTCTGTTCCTGTCATTTAGCAGATGTATATAAATCAATATTCAATGTATGAAGTGAAAAGAAATAGTCTCATGTACGTGGATTGGAGAAAATTTATTTTACTGGCTTGTAAGATTAAAAAGATGTTACTTATTTTTCATTCGTCCATGAAATCCAACCTTCACAGAACAGAAATTGACCAGTGCATGACTTTTATTTGTATTAACACTCCAATTCTTTCTTATTGAGTTTTCCAGCTTATAGATAGTTAATTATAGGATTACTGACTAAGTATTGTGTAAAAATTATTTACCAAGGGATTTTACTACACAAACAAATATTGACTTAAATCAATCCCAATGCAAATTTTAGATTTGACAGACTGTGATTGATTTCTGTTGATAATTCAATTCATGAAGATATCAAAGATCTTGTTAAAACACAACAGGCATGTACGTTACAGGTATATGGATTATTATGAATACCAAAGGGTCCAAATTCCTTGCCCACATGTTGCCAAGATATATTTTACAAAAAATGTTTACTGATTACGACACTGCTCATAGAGTGTATATAAAGATACAAAATTCCCTGTTCTGGTTTTATTCTTTTTAATGACAACTCAAAATGAAAAGATATTTTCATATTCAATGCTACTCCTTTTAACCTGTTGGATTTGCATAATTTTTAGCTCACCTGAGCCGAAGGCTCAAGTGAGCTTTTCTGATCACATTTTGTCCGTCGTCCGTCCGTCTGTCCGTCTGTCTGTCCGTCTGTAAACTTTTCACATTTTCGACTTCTTCTCAAGAACCACTGGGCCAATTTTGACCAAACTTGGTACAAAGCATCCTTGGGTAAAGGGAAATTTAAATTGTTAAAATGAAGGGACATATCCCCTCGCAAGGGGAGATAATCAAGAAAAGACAAAAATAGGGTGGGGTCATTAAAAAATCTTCTTCTCAAGAACCACTGGGCCAGTAAAGCTGAAACTTATGTGGAAGCATCCTGGGGTAGTGTAGATTCTAAATTGTTCAAATCATGACCCCCGGGGGAAGGGCGGGGCCACAATGGGGAATCAAAGTTTTATATAGAAATATATAGGAAAAATCTTTGAAAATCTTCTCCTCAAGAACCACTGGGCCAGAAACTCTGAAACTTATGTGGAAGCATCCTGGTATAGTGTAGATTCTAAATTGTTCAAATCATGACCCCCGGGGGAAGGGCGGGGCCACAATGGGGAATCAAAGTTTTACATAGAAATATATGGGAAAAATCTTTGAAAATCTTCTTCTCAAGAACCACTGGGCCAGAAAAGCTGAAACTTATATGGAAGCATCCTGGTATAGTGTAGATTCTAAATTGTTCAAATTATGACCCCCGGGGGGAAGGGCGGGGCCACAATGGGGAATCAAGTTTTATATAGAAATATATAGGAAAAATCTTTGAAAATCTTCTTCTCAAGAACCACTGGGCCAGAAAAGCTGAAACTTATGTGGAAGCATCCTGATATAGTGTAGATTCTAAATTGTTCAAATCATGACCCCCGGGGGAAGGGCGGGGCCACAATGGGGAATCAAAGTTTTATATAGAAATATATAGGAAAAATCTTTGAAAATCTTCTTCTCAAGAACCACTGGGCCAGAAAAGCTGAAACTTATTTGGAAGCATTCTGGTATAGTGTAGATTCTAAATTGTTCAAATCATGACCCCCGGGGGAAGGGCGGGGCCACAATGGGGAATCAAAGCTTTACATAGAAATATATAGGAAAAATCTTTGAAAATCTTCTTCTCAAGAACCACTGGGCCAGAAAAGCTGAAACTTATGTGGAAGCATCCTGGTATAATGTAGATTCTAAATTTTTCAAATAATGACCCCCGGGGGATGGGTGGGGCCACAATGGGGAATCAAAAAGTTTTACATAGAAATATATAGGAAAAATCTTTGAAAATCTTCTTCTCAAGAACCACTGGGCCAGAAAAGCTGAAACTTATGTGGAAGCATCCTGATACAGTGTTGATTTTAAATTGTTCAAATAATGACACCCGGGGGAAGGGCGAGGCCACAATGGGGAATCAAAGTTTTATATAGAAATATATAGGAAAAATCTTTGAAAATCTTCTTCTCAAGAACCACTGGGCCAGAAAAGCTGAAACTTATGTGGAAGCATTCTGGGGTAGTGTTAATTCTAAATTGTAGGAATCATGACCCCCGGGGGAAGGGCGGGGCCATTATAGGGAATCAAAGTTTTACATAGAAATATATAGGAAAAATCTTTGAAAATCTTCTTCTCAGGAACCACTGGGCCAAAAAAGCTGAAACATACATGTATGTGACAATGGAAGGATCATGGGGTAGTGTAGATTTCAAAATGTCTAAATTATGATCAGTGGGGTAATGTGGGGATGCATTATGTATAACAAGGGTGAAATCTGGTAAAGAACAGAATGGTCAAAGCTTCTCAGGTGAGCGATGTGGCCCATGGGCCTCTTGTTTCTTGTTACTACTTTATAAATCATGATGATGAATATTGAGATAATTAAGTAAATATTGCATAAAAAGTAGGGATGTCAACGAGTACCCGGTTAACCGGGTACTCGATGGAACGTCCTAGTATCGAATACAAAAATTGGTACTCGGTTACTCGGAATATTTTTTTGAATATTTCTAAGCTTATTTATTAATGCTTTAAAACATTGGTTTCAAATGGAAAATGTTCATTGCACTTGTACATAAAGTAATTAGGGTTTCCTACCCCTCTAAATGACCGTTATCGCCTGTGGCAGTGTTTATAC